GAGAGAGAGAGAGAGGAGGGGGGAGGAGAGAAGAAGAGGAAAAGGAAACGTAGAAAGAGCAATCTCGTTCGCGAAATGTTAATTAACAACGAATTATAATTGTTCAACGTGGACCAGGTCGCGAAAGATACACGTGAGTGCGCGTACGCAAAAGAAGCGGCCGCGAAATTAGCATCGTGAAAGATTGCGCGATATAAATGCCGAAGCGTGGTCGTTAAATTCGTCGATGCAATAATCCGTGGCTTTTTGTTTAAGCGCCGCGGGATTTACGATGGTCCTTCCCTCGTTGCGACGTTCGAACTTCTTTCTTCCCACCGTCCTCGCGAATTAGAGGGTACATTGCTCGCCGAGTCCGCGATCGCGGCGCCGCTACACAAAACGTTAAATTTTCGGCCGGCCGTTCCCTTACGATTGTAACGCAAACATTTTAATCGCGATATTTTACATTGTTTAAATTGCCGCGGTTTAAAATACCTTGCGATGCCCGGTAGCAATTGAAACTCCAATTAGCGCTCGGTAATTTTTTATATGTTTAATCGTTGCCTCTATATTCTCGCCTCCCACCGCTATATTAACAATGGATAATATATATATGTATATCCGCGCAGTTGCGGCTGAAAAAGTGAGCGGTAATCGTGGATCTGTGGGCTCCTTGACTTCTCTCGGTGTATTCCGAGATAACTCTTATTTAGCAAAACTTTCATTGACGTTCGTCATTCATTGGTCGCCCACGTTGAATTTTGAATAAATGTTGATTTTCAACGGTAATTAAGGCAGAAATGTATTCCGCGGTAATTGAGCGAATCGAATTAAATATCTACGGAGCAAATCTATAATATTGGCGCAGCAAGTCAAGGTACAACCCGTTATTATATCGATTTTTTCTACAGTATTTTTTTTTTCGTAAGTTCATCGATATGTGATGAAAATTACGTGCTTCAGTATCGATCGCATTGAACATTTTCTGAGAAAATTCTCTCGCGAAATTTTAATCGCGAATCAGAAGGACACAATGTCAGTACGTGATGGATGAAACACGAGAGTCAGGCTTCCTGTAAGCGTTGACACTTTGTATTAGATAATTCTGCGATCGGGCAATTGATATTCCGCCAGAGTTTTCTTCAGAAGCAATTGTTCGCTTTATCAGGCATTTCTGGACGTCAGAGAAACACGCGACTTTCGACTTCAGTCTCGCGCTGAAGAAGCGTAACTTCCCCGCGGATTAGCTGCTCCTTTACGTGATTAGTACGGCGATTACCGTCACATTGTTGTAATTTTACAGCGTCTGACTGTCAATCGGATCGCCGGCACGGCGATTTAACCGTCGAATGTGCAAAAAAGCCGAGCACAATGCACGCCTCGTTATGCACGCGCGCACTTACAATGAAAGCGCTTAATCTTCCTTGCCAAATAAAACGCGCCGCGCTCGACGAGGCTCGCGAACACATTCCGCAATCTATTCGCAACGCACGTGTATTAATAAGCCATTTTTTCTTTTTTCAACAAATCGCCACGCTTACTTTTGCACCCGTCTGCGATTTTAATTCGACTCAATGCGGATAATTTCGCGTGTAATTCCGATTGGGTTTCCATTGTAATAATTACACGAGCGATTTCGGAGTTAATGTTCGAAAATAAATAAACCGCACGACAAAGCGGGATTTAACGTTACCGATCGCCGGAGTATTTATCTAACCGACGTGTTCTTTGACGCGCTCGCGCTAAGTGCGGATATAAAATCGCGGATATTAAATTACGCACGGAAAACAAAAGATTTGGTTGAATTAACCAAATATCTGGTCGAATATGAACGATCCAGAAATCCCGATTGAAGTAACTCGAATTCTGTTTAAGTTAACAAGATTTTTGGTAAACTAACCAAACATGTCTGGTCAAATAAGTTAGTCTACCAAAAATCTTGTTAAACTCAAACAGAATTCGTGTTACTTCAATCGGGATTTCTGGATCGTTCATATATTCGACCAGATATTTGGTTAATTCAACCAAATCTTTTGTTTTCCGTGCGCACCGATCGAAAACTTCCGCAAGATGGAAAATGCAATATATGCGTGTATCGCGGACGGTAATAATATCGAAATGTTCTTCTGATGCGCGCGCGACGCATCCGCGATTAAGCTGCGCCAAATCGCGTAAAGCCGGCCGTTGTGCGTTGCGGCGAGCACGTGGCGTGTATTTACAACGAAATGTTCAACACCGCACACAGAACTAATATTAATTTAAGCTTTGCCCGGAATCGACCAATGACGTAGCGTTCACGTCTGCGTTACGGTGCGTTAATAACCGTGGGTTAATATTTCAACAAATTGCAAGTGTAATTTTCGCATTCGGCCGCGCATCCAATCGTTTGACGAGTCGCTTCAAACGGGCGGATACGCGTTTTCTTTTTCCTCTTTTTTTTTTTTTGCTTTTCGCGTCCGTACACAAAATGCGGCTGAAACGGTATGTCGGGCAAGCTTGTTGCTGCACGGCGTGGCCGAACGTCATGTTACACAAGATCGGCCAGTCGAAGCGACGGAGAAGAGCGTAACGTGTGTGTTCTCTTTTCATTTCAGCAGGGAGACGCGGTTTGGCGATGCTCCTGTCATGTGCAGGATGCGAGAAACCGATAATGGATCAGTACCTGCTGAACGTTTTGGACCGTGCATGGCACGTCGAGTGCGTGCGCTGCTTCGACTGCAGAATCACGCTGCAGGACAAGTGCTTCTCCAGGGAAGCGAAGCTCTTCTGCAGGAACGACTTCTTCAGGTATGTGTCCGCGCGCGTGCGTGCTCGCTTGCTTTATAATCCACACACGAAAAGGTTTTCCCGACAATACCGTCATCATTGAAAAATTAATCATTGAGAACAATTTTACACTGGCAATGATTAACTCTGGACTACACTGAGGGAAAAATTGCCTTAAAATCAACAAATATTTTTTTGATGGGTGCCATTAACATATTTACTTAAATCTAAATTCTCTTTATTTAAATCAAATATTGTTTACCTGATTTAAGTAAATAATATTTGATTTAAATAAAGAGAATTTAGATTTAAGTAAATATGTTAATGGCATCCATCAAAGAAATATTTGTTGCCTTAAAGTAATTTTTCCCTCAGTGTACTAATATCCGTCTTTTCGGCAGTAATGTTTTAGAAATTATTCCCCCCACTCCGTTGGAATTGCTTCATTTATGCCCCATTTTCGATAACATACTTAATATTTTCTCGTTAAATATATGTTTGATTTACTATTCCTCATTAATTCCCTGTTGCTCAACAGAAAAGTTCTGAGAGCAAATAATTGAGGAATAAATTGCACCAAAAAGACGGATATTACCAGCATTGAGAAAACGTGTTAGTAGTCTAAGTTAAGTAATTGATATAAGGTAGTAATAAATAATTACCAGTAATGCTAAAACTCGATGGTCGGATAGGATTGATTGAGTCGTTCAATATAAAATCTTTCCATAAGATTATTCACTGACGTATAATGTGCGGACGCTCGTAGCATGTATATTTCTTCGGTGAAGATAAACGATAAGACGAATTGTTGAAATTATTAATTGACGCACGATGGGAATTATCTTCCCGTGTAGGGATTAAACTTTGAAATCCGCTTTCCGCAGAATGCTATTATCCGCTCCTTCCTCAGGCTGACGAACACTTGACTTATTTGCGCGACAGTTATTAGAAATTGACCATTTATTGTGGCAAATTAGACAAATTGCTATCGCCGAGTAATCTACAAGCTGCACTTTTATATATCGCGCATACAATTAGAGCTCACCTTCTCAATCTGCATACATACAGTGTGCATCGATGAATATGAATGTCTCGCGACTGTCGTATCCTCTCACTCGCTGCTACTAATCCTACCAGGAATCCATACATTTACCAGGAATATCTCTTGAAATGCCGATTTATGCGCAGTTCACTTTCATCGATCCACGATCAAAAAGTGCTCGTGCTTCTTTTCTTCCGTCGTCAGCTTTCAAACTTCCGCGAAGATCTACGCGATCGAACGGCCTCACGACCTCGACATGTCTCTCTCTCTCTCTCTCTTTCTCTCTCTCTCTCTCTCGCTCTCGTGCGCACTTTTCCCCGACGACGACGACCCAGTCATCTCTTCCCGTCTACCGTCCATCGGCGATGAATCACGCGGGAACGGTCGGTCGTCGGAGTTTTTACGCGATCACGCGGAGCGCGGCGATTCGTCTCGAGAAAAAGGGATCTCGTGACGAATGGTAGGTAGGCCTTGGCATTTTCCCCGGGCGAGACAGGCGTCACTTCGTACGGCCTGATTTCAAAAATCAAACTCGTCGCTCGTTCGTCGACACAATGCGCCTTGTGCGATCGCAAACGAGCGACGTAGTCGCTCGAATCTGCGATTGCAGGTGTGCCGCACGCGTCGTAAAAACGCGAGTGCTTTGTCGAGCTAAAATTTTAATTAACCCTGCTACTGCCATCGAAGCGTTGATTGAGAATCTCGCGTGGTCTAGCCTCGCCATACGGGCTATTCTCCTTTGATGCTACAAAATTTGCTCGCTACTATTTCGTTGAGGTTCACACGGAGAGAATTTTACAGTACAGAATTTTATAGTATTATTACAGAATTTTATAACCGAGGAATAGATCGACATCCTGAACTATTAGAAACATAGTAAAGTTGAAGAAAATTAAAAAAAAAAAAAAAACTGATGTTCTCCCCGTTCTAAGAGGACTTGTTTAAGAATTATTCAATATTTCATTTTCTCAATAGTCTATCTGCGCATTTAATCTCTTTATTCTTAATTTCAATACAAATGACATGTTAATTATGTAATTTATTGCAGACCGAGACTGCGATATGTACGATAAGCAAATAATTCAACAAAAATTAATACGTATAGGTAAAAATAAGACAAACTTTCTTCTGAATCTTTATATTATTATTTTCTATCGAAGTTATAGGAATTTCGATAGGATCTAAAGATTTAAGAGAGATGAAAAAAAAGTTGTGTAAATCTTGTCTCTAACTAAGTCGTTAAGGGTTATAGCACACAGAAAAATTAAGCAGTAAGAAGTAAGCAGTAAGCAAATTGACCAATCACAGTCGTTGATTCTTGGACCGTAAGAAAAATTAGCGACTGTGATTGGTCAATTTGCTTATTGTTTACGTTTTACTGCTTAAGTTTTTCTGTGTGCCACTGTGCCTTGCGTTCTGTATTCCATCCTGAAGTTAACTCCTGCTCATTATTGCGACCAGACGCTTAATAATTTCACACGGAAAAATCGATCGGAAACGCGGCGTTAATTAATGGTCACACAGTTAATCGACGACGGTCGTCGAATGTTACAAGTGACACTTTCGATACGTACCGCGCGTATATACAATTGTCCTAATAATATAATAATTTAATAATTTGTATGGTTGCGAAAGTCCGGAATATTTTGAAAATGCGCTTGTCATGATTCCTCGGCTGAATACTACTATTTCTACATTCATTCTACTGAATGAATACTATTAGTCACTAAGTCAATATCACTCTAGCAATTGACGACCGCGTCTCCGTTCGCGCTTGCGTCTACAATTGTTTCTTGACCAATCCAGCAGCTAGCAGCTCCTTTCCGATTGGTCAAGAAAAATGACCGTAGATGCAAATGCGAATGTGACACAGTCGCTAATCGCGACTGTGATATGGACTTTGGTCATAAGATTGGCGATTGACGGGAAGTGATTTTGTCCTTTTTGAAGATATCAATTGTTTTGGCACGTACACACGGCGTCATGAATGCCTCAACATTTACTAGATCGAGATTTGTACGATTTACAGCCTTACACATAATACTTCAGATTGAAAATTGTATAAGTAACTCTGATTATAATGATAGCTAGCAGCTCCTTCCCGATTGGTCAAGAAAAATGACCGTAGATGTAATGCGAATGTAGACACAGTCGCTAATCGCGACTGTGATATAGACTTTGGTCATAAGATTGGCGATTGACGGGAAGTGATTTTGTCCTTTTTGAAGATATCAATTGTTTTGGCACGTACACACGGCGTCATGAATGCCTCAACATTTACTAGATCGAGATTTGTACGATTTACAGCCTTACACATAATACTTCAGATTGAAAATTGTATAAGTAACTCTGATTATAATGATTATAATGGTGATAATTATAACGATTTCAATCTTATTTGCATAAAGCCGAAATTCCTGTAACTCTCGATTTAGAGAATATTCGGACATCGTGTGTGCAATCGGTGTCGGAAAGGTATCCGGTCTTTTTTATGAACGCATCTATCTTATCTAATGGGAAAATCCTTTTATTGATCAACGAATTCTTCTATTGGATAAGACAGATGCATTCTGAAAGTCATAAAAAATTAGACAACTTTTCTGACGCCGATTATACATAACGGAAATTTGATTACAAGTACAAGAGTAAATTTGATTGCCACGAAAGAGATTTTTGCTTGTTATCACGTTATCTTGAATAAGTTATCTTGTTATCACTTTATCTTGAATAAGTTATCTTGTTATCACTTTATCTTGAATAAGTTGCATAATGCGTTGCTTAATGAATTTAATAATAATGAAATACAGGTGAAATATTGAAATAACCGAATATTGAATAATTTTCAAATGAGTGTTTCTCCAAGTTTCCACATGGGGGAAACAGTAAAGTATTTATGGTGTAAGACAACGGTCCGTATACGTCTCGAGATCTCCCATTGATCCTTCCAATTCGACGGAAAGATTTATAAGATTAATGTGAAATCAATGATTCGACAAGGAAACCTTCGACAAGACGCGAAAATAACTCGAACGCGAAAGAGGAGAGAAAGAATTCCCAGGACGTCGATTACTCGCGATTCGCAGCGCGAATTCAGGAGTCGAATAGCCCGGGCGATTCTTAAGCCTCTTTCGTGTTGTCGGAAGTTCGCCGGAAGGAAAACACGTCAAAGTAGTTCAACCTAGTGATTTAAATTAATGACCGTGGCGTATAGAAGTGATTTAAACGGGCCGGCAGTGTGGCCGCTGATTGATTCAGACGCTCTCGTAGATTAAATTACTATCGACGTCGCCGTTTCCACTGATTACTCATCCCTGCGTGTGTTTATCGCGTGGCGAAATAAAACGAAGGAATGATCGTGCGATGTATCTCAGCAATTTCATGTCGCGAACGCCGTAATCGTCTTATGCGTGAAAAAAAAAACGCGTGGCTCTTTTACATTTTAAATTTATGAAAATTCCGCTGCACGATAACGCGCGATGTTACCAGAAATGACCACATTACCTGATGTTAATGTTGTTTCCATTCCATTATTATTATTAACTCGTTTCGTGTGTATTATTGGTTAATATTGATATTATTACCGTTAATGTTGCCGCTACTATTAGCGTCATATTGTTATTATTGTCGTTAGTATAAATTACAACCCCAAAGCTAGATTCGATTAACGTCATTAGAGTAGTATCATGAATACGGCGCATTATACGTCGCTAAATAGCGGCGAAATATAACTCTATCTCCTGTGCGAGTCGTGCGAGCCAAAAAATCGATATCTCCGCGCCGCGAGACAACCGCGACAACCGGTCTCTATTATTCGCGACGCCGCCGTGGATCCGTCGCCGCATCCTACGGAACGGTCGGTCGGTCGGTCGTTCCACGTGGGTGGCGAACTATGATATCAGCATATCGATTAGTCAAGGCGAAAAATGGCGAGCTCGCCTCGCACTGTGGCGAATTCAATTTTGCGGCGGCATTTTTCTGC